GCGCACCTTCCACCGGGTGCCCCACAACCTGGTGGCCTCCATGGCCATCTCCGACGTCATGGTGGCGGCCCTCGTCATGCCCCTCAGCCTGGTGCACGAGTTGTCCGGGAGGCGGTGGCAGCTGGGCCGGTTGCTGTGCCAGGTGTGGATCTCCTTCGATGTGCTGTGCTGCACCGCCAGCATCTGGAACGTCACGGCTATCGCCCTCGACCGCTACTGGTCCATCACGCGCCACCTGGAATACACGCTCCGCACCCGGCGCCGCATCTCCAACATCATGATTGCCCTCACCTGGGCCCTCTCTGCCTTCATCTCCTTGGCCCCGCTGCTCTTTGGCTGGGGAGAGACTTACTCAGAGGACAGCGAGGAGTGCCAAGTCAGCCAGGAGCCCTCCTATACCATCTTCTCCACCTTTGGCGCCTTCTACCTGCCCCTCTGCGTGGTGCTCTTTGTCTACTGGAAGATCTACAAGGCCGCCAAGTTTCGAATTGGGTCTTCCATCACTCCCATTACGCCAGAAGCCCTGGAGGTAGGTCAACACAGTTTTGCTCTAGCCAAACGCTGGAAGTGGCCAAGCCCTTGCAGCAGTGGGGAAAGCTTAGAGCCAGAGCGTGCAAGCAAACAGCATCCCGCCAAAGCCCTGTGAATCCTGGAGGCTTTCAAGGGAAAGTTGACTGCACAGCTTGCAAGCCCAGTCTTTTGACTCCTTCCGAGTCCCCAGCTGTGAGCACACAAGGTGTAGCTGTATCAACTTTGGGCCAGATTGTGAGGCTGAGCTCCACGTGGGTGTGTGGTGACTCACAGACATCCCCCCGTGGAATGCTGAATCAGTGCTCGCAAGCGTGAGTAAGGGGTCACCGGTCCTCCCGTGGGGAGACGCGTGGAGGTGTGGATGGATGGGATCCCGTCTCCGCTGGGGATGGTAACCCGGCGAGCAGCTGGGGCTTTGGGGAGGCTGTGAATATACCCACACAGAAGACACACGTGGCAGAACATCCTTGTAAAACCTTCCTCATCGTGGCTGCATCGTGTCAGTTCATCGCAGGCATGGTGACTGTGCACTGTAAAGACTTCAGGGGGGAGGAAGGAAATGTATGCTCATTTTCTTGCCTCTCCTACCCTTAAACTCACTGGGTTCAGGTAAAGCAAGGAGACTTCTGTGCATGGCATATGGGGGTGTGCCTGCTCTACTGGTCTGATTGTAAGTGGGGAAATAATCTTATTGCGAAGCTGTGTGAGCAAGTCCATGTGGCCACGTATCACTACTCTCTCTAGCTTCTGGCCTTGCTTAAAAACAGTCTCTGTTACCCCAAAGAGGGTCATACAACTGATCTCCCCTCCACCAGAGTGTGACGTAGATGGCCCGCGCTTCCCCGCGAGCTCTGGCCAACACTTGCATAGTTTGGTTGTGCACCTGCTGTGTGGGATCAGCTGACTGAGGCACATACGGTGCAACGTGTGTTTGTCTTTGGCAGGTAAAAGAAGCTGCCCAGCAGCCACAGATGGTCTTCACTGTCCGTCATGCCACTGTTACGTTCCAGACAGACGGAGACACGTGGAGAGAGCAGAAGGAAAAGAGAGCTGCCCTCATGGTGGGCATCCTTATTGGTGTCTTTGTGCTCTGCTGGATCCCCTTCTTCGTCACGGAGCTCATCAACCCCCTCTGCTCATGTGACATCCCACCCATTTGGAAGAGTATTTTTCTATGGCTAGGCTATTCAAATTCCTTTTTTAATCCACTCATCTACACTGCTTTCAACAAAAACTACAACAATGCCTTCAGGAACCTATTCTTTAGGCAGCACTGAGCAGAAAAAGCTTTCCTGCTGCCCCAGGAAGCTGGCTTCAACTCTCAATGACTACTACCAAACTCTTGAGGAAGTTTTAAGCCACAGGTACCGAGGTGATGCTAAAGATGCATCCCCATGGGTCTTATGTCCCAGCAGTCTCTCCATCCCAGTCTCTAAGTCAGTTGCTATTTTTCTTGCCAGCAGGATGTAAGGGTTTCTGTGTATGGCAGCACAGCATTCTTCCTCCAGTACCCCACTGGTTTCCTCCCACCTTCCTAGTGACGTTCTCTTTGGTGGCAGTAACGGTACAGAGGAGTCTTCTGGCAAAGAGTCATATTTGAAACTCTTGTTTGGCCACTGCCACTCTCTCACTGCATTGATCAACTCTGTCCCATGTGCAAAGCTGGGACCCTTTAATGTCAGGAGGTTTTCATGTGAAACTAGGTATTTCATGGCTTGGTTGAAAGATTGTTTGTCTTGTCTTTCGCTGGTAGAGATTGTTAAGTATGTGGGGAATAAAAACCTCAGTAAGCGTTAAAAGCAGACTCTAAGTACAAAGCCTTTTCTCACATGCTTTATCAACAACAAATTGTGCTATTTGCTATTGGATTGTGTTGCAAGTTTTTTAAAAACATTATTTATTGTGAAAGCTTAATGCGTGGTGTACCCTGGAATGAGAGAGAATGCATGGGAAATCCACCCCTTGTTCTCTGACTGCTATGTGTGAGCATCTGCCTCAGGCCTTTACTTTCAGAAACGCCAGCTGTAAATGTTAATCTTTGTGTCTGTGTTTCCATTCTAAACCATAAATGTATTTTGAGCAGCTGTGGGGCAGGTTTCTGGTAGTTGCAGGGGATGCAAGGTGTGTATCAAATTGCCTGTCAATAAGGAGCTGTGCTTTACTATTTCTGAGTGCATTTTAGGTCTTCTCGAAACCAAAGCAAACACCCTACTTTGTTTCTGTGAGCACTGGATTGCAGGCAAAGGGCAGTTAATGACCAGTGATGTTTCATTCTGAAAGCATCACCAAACCATAGGGGTACTCTGCTGTGAGGAATGGACTTAAATATTTCTTCTTTTGGCCAGCCCTCTTTCTCTTCCTCGCTCCTAAGGCTCCAGTCCTGCCTGGTCATTGTTGCTCTGGTGCCTCCCTGCCTTTCCATGTTGCTGACATAATTATAGTAGTTGGCATTTCACTCCTGGAATTAAAATCATGCAGTTTATGCTGCACCACTGGAAGACTGACAGGCCTTCCGATAAAGAAAAGCATTAGTTTTAGCTATCTGTCCTTATGGGGCAGCCACTGAAATCAGACCGCAACGGAAACATAGAGGAAAAGACAAGATGGGAATTAGAATGACATGATTTTCTGTCAGATATCTCAAGAAGAAAAGATAAAAGTGGAAAATGCCAATAAATCATGGGAAAGCTCCCCAGGGGTGAGTAGGATTAGTTCTTATCCTTTGCAGATCATGAGACATCAGATGTTAAAATTGTCACTGGTCCTTTAAACCGATCAAAAGTCCTGGTAGATTTGGTTAAAAAGTCCTTTTTCGTTTCATATCTTCGACAGGTGAAAATGGAAGCAGAGCTCAAGGTGCTGTCAAGTGTTGCAGCTCCTTCAGGACCAGTTAGACAAACATCCATCAGGACTGACACAGATGTAGCTGATCCTGCCTTGCGGCAAGAGGAGAGATAGGACGGCCCTTGAGGTCTTTTTCAACACTATTTTATAAAAGTCTGTTAGAAATATTAGGTAAAATCCTGCCCTCACTGAAAACAGTAGACAAATTCACAGTGACTTCAAGCAAATCAGGATTTAATCCAGCATGTTTTGTAAAAGCATAGATTTAATTTTAATTAATTCAAGAAGATGGGTGGGATGGGAGTAACCTTCTAACTCCTCTGAAAGACTCTCTGATCTGTGCTAACCATGGATCAACCACTCTACAGCTGGTGAAGAGCATTTTCTTACCTTGTTACATATTTTAAATTATTATTAGTGACATCACAGACATATCAAAAATTGTAATAAAGTCTTGAGATGCTTTTATACTGAGAATGGAAAGGTTGCATTGCTTTCTGTGGACAGTCCCTCACCGATGCAGAGTTGTTCTTTTTGGGAACTTACTACTTTTGTTGTGTCAAAGGTTGTTTAGCCAAAAATTATTCGGAAAAAATGCTCCCTGGCCCAAGCCAGACCTTCAGCTAAGCTTGGTAGTGCCTGAAAGTAGAAGGCTGCTTGTTAGGCCACCATGGCCTAAGCGTGAAGTAACTGGAAAGTTGGACTGTAGTCCATCATTTTAGCATGTAACATCATGCCTGCACAACTCTGTTTCAAACCAGGCTGTGTTCATCCCCATTTTTATTTGCTCACTGGTGAGTATTGCAGATTCCCTGTCTGTGTTGTGTGGGATCCTTGTGCAGGTCATGGAATCAACTGTGAACTCAAATTGTTATCCTGTGTAAGCAAAAGAAAATTAAACTGAGATCAATGGGAAAGATCCCTACTTTTGTTGCAGCTCGGTGCTGGGATGAAGCTCCCTTTTCATTATATCCCATGTTTATTCATGTTATGTCTTCAACGGTGACAAGGAGACAGGAGAGAATCTTAAAATGACACTGAATTCTAATTTGTCTATGGTTATGGACTGTCCTGGTGTAAATTACATCCACATTTATTTGACAACCCACATCCCATACAATCCATATTGATCTTCTGCAAATAACAGCTTCCACTTGGTCATAAGGTTTGTTCCTTTGACTCTTGACATAATTAGCAGCTACGTTATGGACCGATTCCTACTGCTCTTACTTGTGTTTTAAGACCATTGACTATATCATCTAAATACCATTCCTGCAACGTAATATAATCATGCAGGGAAAATGTCAGTATTCAGAAGACTGTGGTAAAGAATCGTATCAAAACCTGCCATGATGGTCCGAGCACAGTGAAGGGGCACAAAGAAACCTTGACTTCTGATCCTGGCTCCAAGGCTTTTTACAAACCTCTCAGTATTCAAACACAGATGCTGAGTGGGCTCCCAGAGACACAAATCATGTTTGAAGACACACACAACCCCAGCTTCAAAGGATGTATCTTGTACCTTCTTGTTCCCACTTATAAAACAGAATCAGTGGTGTGAAGAGATCTGCCTCACCGAGGCTTTGTGAGGATTAATTAGTAAATGTTTATCATGTACCGGGAAGGTGGAATTGCCGAGCAGCATTATAAATTGGACTTCTATTTAATTCCTTTGAAGAACATGATTACCCATTATTATTGAGTTTCTTAGGCAATTTAATGGCTATATAATACTTCCAGAAAAGATTTAACTGACCTTCTTCCACTTACAATTAATTTATTTTCCTCCCGATGCTCTGGCAGTTCAATGAACATCTGTATGGGAGCTTGATAGCCAGGGCAGCCACGGCGTGTGCTGAATGCTGTCTGCTGAATGTCTCCTCACAACGCTGAATGCATATTGTCAAGGTTCAAGGAGCAGCAGCTCTCCAGGCAGTCTGCTGCTGTGTTTCCTTTATTTTTTAGGGAGAAGAAAAGGTCACAAGAGAATGCCCTTGGATTACATGACAGGTGGGCTGACCACCTTCCTCCTCCAACCCTGTCCCGCTGACCTTTCTTCTCGATGCAGGCAGGTGACTCCAGGACACATCCTGATCCTGTAACGCCAGAGGTGGGACACGCATGACTTCACCCTCGTTAATTTGCCGGGACTTTTCCTAAAAATTACTGCTGGGAGACGTGGCTTTTAAACTGGCAGCAGCAGCTGAAAGTGGGAGTTTCCTGGAAGTAAAGTTGCAGGCAATTAAGGAAATTTCACCTGACAAAGGTAATTAATGATTATTAGTTCCAGTGATTGCTGCGGTGAGGTACGACTGACAAAGTGTCAAAGTGGGTTTTGCAATGTGGTGATTTTCAGCTGCTTTGTTTGCGACGGGCTCATCGCCGTTTTACTCTTGGATCCCTTATTTTACCTGCATTGGTACAGCAGCAAACTGGGACACCAGCAAAGTCACAATGAATACGTTATGGGCATCATTAATGCCCCATGTAGGAACAGTGGGGTAAAACATCCATGGCAAAACCTGCATCCCCGCTGCGATGCACCCTGCTGCGATTCACCCCACTGAGCATCACCAAACTGCTGGCATTTTCATCAAATATAACAAGTGGACAAAGTGCTCTTTAAATCACCATTATTTTCAGTAACACTGAAGTGCTGAGGAAGTTGCAGAAGACTGGAAGAAAGCTGAAGTTGTGCCAGTATTTTAAAAGGGCAAATTGGGAGAGCCAAGTATTTGTAAGGCTTATACTGTTACTGATTTACAGCTTGAAATTGATCCTTGGCAAAAATGTGGAACAGCTGATAAAGGACTCAATGAATAAAAAATTACAGGAAATAAATATAATTAAAATAAATCACATTGATGTCTTTCTTTGATTGCAGCGCATGGCTCATTGCTGATGGTGACATAAACTATTCACTTCTCAGTAATGAATCTGACTTGACAACACTCAACACTTCCATGAAAAAGGGAAGAAGAAATCAATATGAGCTTCAAACTGTCCAATATTTGCTAATGACTCATGGACGAAAAAAGGTGTAAATACAGAAAATGAAGTCAATTGTACAGAAAAATGAGGATGCAAAGAGGCGGGGGGCACTTCAGCCCAGCGTGAGGGACAGGCACACACCCAGGAGCAGAGAGAGGGAACCCCTGTTGCAGGCGGGGAGGCACGGCCGTGCCAGGGTGGATCAGGAGCTGAACATGCAGGACTGGCCAGTGTTTTGGGGACAAGCAGGCTTATTTCTCACCTGTTCAGGTGCTATGGATTTTATTCTAGTCACTGGAGGGGAGGGTATGATTTCAGTTCATTGCCCGTGTGCTGTTCCCCCCCACCCATCCACTGCCAGGCAGTCAGTCTCAGCATTGCAGTTCTCTCGGCCGTGTAATTTCCCTTGCTGGCCAAGTCAAATGCTTTCCCTAATCATCCC